AATGTTTTATCTCAGTGTTCAATGGCTTGTCAGAAAAATGATCTTAAATATTGTAAGCATTTAGAAGATTTGTAATTAATAAGCATTAATTTAATAATCCGACAATATTTTGAAAGTCCAAAACCGAAACTAACGGTAAGTCGAACTTCCGATATGTCGAAGTTTTTCGTCAGTCCTATGAGATTCGAGTTATCGCGAATTCACTGTATATCATTATACAAACTGTAATGTATAATATAATGATACATATAGTATAAAATCATATTTACTAGTAATTGTATATTTTGATTACTTGTACCCACAGCTACAGTAGTAATCAAAATTATGCGAAGTTGTAATCAAAATTACAAGTAATTGATTACTGTTTGAGTAACTGTTACTAGTAATTGATTATTGGAATCTCTTTGACATTTCTGCCCCATTCTGGTATCGATGTATTTTATCACGCATTTCTAATTTATTTATCATGCAGTCTGTGTTATCTGTCAGCTTGAACTAAAAAGTTTATATTTAAACATGACTGAAATAATATTTTAAAATAAAAATCAGGAAAATATCTTTACAAAAAAATTTCATAATATAAATGATTTAGATAAAATTTTGATTTTTCCTTGAAAATTATTTTTAAGATGAAAAATTAATGACATTATGCAAATGACTTTGGCTTGTTAATTTTAAAAAAAAAATTTTTTTTCACTCCAAGTATTCTCTTAAGCAATTCTAAATCTTTTTTTTTTTATTTAAATAATTAGATTTGTACATTTCCAAGCAGATCACACCAAAATTCAAGAGTATTTCATTCAAATCAGAAGAGTTCACAAATAAAATGAATAAATTTCTTTGTGATTAAATTTCTATTATGACCAAATAATGTTAAAAAAATTATTAGTTACCAAGTATGCTGACAATTTTTTTTTATTTTAGATAAGTAGTTTTCAAATGAATGTTTTCTAAGTTTAGGTAAAATCTGGAAAAATTGTTTTAAGAACTTAATTGATAACATAAGATTTACAAATGTTATTTAAATTATAAGTAATTCCATATAAGAATTTATCCACAAGAGAATTCATCTTTTTGTGTTAAAAATAATCTAGTAAAACAAAAAATTTTGACACACAAAATCAATTTGTGTAAGTCACAAAATTTCATCGGTAAATTACGGTAAAAACAAAATCTTCTAAAACACAAATCGTGATTTGTGTTTTATCAATAATTCACGTATGGTTAAGATATTTCAAAAAATGCTTATGAAATACAACAAAATTTCAACTCTATAATTATAATAAAATATTTTTCTTACCTTAATGATCCCTTTAGTTCCAATTATGACAAGTTCATTATTGCAGGGTGCAAGAAGAGTTGAGGTAACATTTGCAGTGCGATTCTTAGTGTATAAGAGGCTTGTACTTTGTATTGCATCAACGCCTGGAATTATCCATGAGATATTTATTACTAACATTTACTTCCTTATTATTGTAAAAGTTTAAAGGTTATAAACCACATCAAAACCAATAAAATAATGTTAACTAATTTTTGGTATCTAAAATTTCAAAATAGCATCTGCATTTGCTTAAAACTTCATTTAATAAAAATACTAAAAGTAACCATTAAATAAAAAAAAGGGCCACTTTCAGTATCAGCGTAAGACTGCACTGATATGTAACAAATAAAAACCTTTTTTAATTTTCACCTTCAGTTCAAAAAAAAAAACAGTCATGTATATATATATAATAATAATATACATAATATTTAGTATTAAATATAATATATAACACGATTAGAAAAAAAAAATTATTTAATAACAAAACGATGTTGTTGGTATTGAGGCTGATGATGAGGTTGGCATTTTGAAGAGCATTCACTTTAGTTCAGAAATATATGTGATATATTAGCCGTAGAAGTGGGAGAAAGTTTCAAGCAAATTAAGTAAAAATTGTATTTATTTAATCATTTCACAATAATGAGAGAAAACCAAATCAGAGAAAAACTGACGTGATTTCTTTTTTATATTAGGTATTTTTAAAGAAATATCTTGCAAGTTTTCCTTATAACTTGTTACAATGAAAAAAAATTATTTATTTAAATACGCTTTCACGATGAAGGTCACACGATTTTACACAAATTTTTAGAAAAAACATTGGAATTTTAAGCACCCTCAAACTCATGCGCATCGCAGTGACTAAATTTTTTAAGGGGAATAAAATTAAAATGAACAGTCCCAATAGCTCTCTAAATTTCATACATAAGGAAAAAAATTCTTTTGTCGTTGAATATTTACTAAAAGAGTGATTATATCTTTCTTATTCTCAACTTCGATGAATTTAAATTGATGATGATTCACAAAATTTTTTTATTTGTCAGAAATATTGTTAGGGTCTTGAAGATTTCTAATTATTGAGATGACCATATAACAACGTCCCCTTGCTAACGAACCCATGCTGAAACTAATTCATTTTCCTGTCTATTGGGGATTTAAACAAAATTCAGATATATTCTTACTCTGTGAGCACTCTGAGTAAATTCAAGCATTGTCAATACTTTTGCTTCTTCATTTGATTTTATGCTTTAATAGAATTCTTTTCCATCATCTTCTCTTATTATGCTGCCACCTCTTTTAATTTTAATATCTCTGATTCTTCCCGACCACCACATAGCAACTCGTGAGTATCATTAAATTAGCAAGTTCTAATTTTATGGGAGGATATTATCAGTGATTGATATAGGCAATTTTGTTTCAAACAAGGCGATTTGTTTTTGGTAAGACATCAGGAAAATTATACAAGAAAAGAATTGTTGTTGAACGAAAAATATTTCTGTTGAATGACCTTGAAAATCAAAACTGAGAAAAGCTGCTGTAATCAAATATAAATACTTTCTTCCTTATAAATAGATTGTATTAGCTGTTTCATTGATTACAACATGCACAGAAAATATTTTATATTAATACACAAAATAATTGTGAAAATACGAAAAATTCAAAAAATTGGAAAAATATTAATCAGTAACAAATCATAATAATTAGAATTGTTTATAATTCGAATTTTTTTCCAATACATGAAGTTGCTATATAGAATAAACAATATAAAATAAAATTTATTTTATTTAGTACTAAACTTTTATTTAGTGCTAAACATATTTTAAACAGAATTCTGTAAAAAAAAAAAATCTTCTCACTATTAGAAAAAAGACCTGTAAAATTAGTTCGCTTACATAATTATAAACAAAAGTGACCAACGATTTCGAAAAAAAACCCAAACAAAGTTAAAAGAAAATAAGACTCCATTGTTTGTTGTATTTTGATTAGGAAACAAAGAAGTCACAAAATTTCATCAATTGCTTGCAAGAAAACTATAAATGTTTTCTATTGCTTATCAGACCATTCCAACTGAATTGCTTCTGCAATTATTTGTAAATTTTATGCCCAGACTGAACCCTGACGTTAATGTGGATAGTAAGTTTAAATAAAATTGTAAACTAAGGGACTGTTTTTTTTATTTATTTATTCTAAGTGTACACAAACTTTAAAAGAAATTATTCTTTGTGAGAAAGAATTATCTTCTTTCATAATTTACTTGTAATTTAAATTTTATCCTTCAAAATAAGACTAACCTCCATCACTTAAATGACCAACTGTTGCAACTTTTGTGGGTTTATCACCACCGTAAATCATAGTAACGGCATTCAAAGTGTAAACACCAAGGTCAAGGACAGAGCCACCTCCCTGCTCCTTCTTCATTAACCTCAGTACTTCAAGAAGGTTCTGACCGAAGTTGACATTTATGTGCACGACATCCCCAATTTTACCACTTTTAATGAGATCCATGAAAAATTTGTAGGCTGGAAAAAATCTGCTCCATAATGCCTAAAAAAAGAATTAATAATTTTATAACACAATTTCGACATGACTTAGAACAAATTACATAATTATTATTTCATTTAACCATAAAAAGAAAATACCAATTAAAATTTGCCCCATCATATAACTCTAAATAACTGTACAAAACTAAACATTTCACCTTTAGGTTCAAATACTCTCATCAAGGAATGAAGAGAAATCCTTTCATTCTGTGTCCCAGTACTAATCTTCATACTATTAATGCTACCAAAGTATTAATAGTATAGTAAACATCATGAATGCAATTTTTTTTAAAATTGTCTTTATTAAATGAGGGTGAGAGTACTAACTTTGCTTTTGAGAATGGGACCTTTTACAAAATTCAATTCTGCAGTTAACACCCCTACATTACAGCTTTAAGATACTTTTAATTATAACAGTTACTAATTTAAAGTAACAGAAACGTTTTGTTTACAGAAGAAAATATGGAATAAAAATGTGTAAAAAATTTTAATTGTAAAAGAAATATTTTATTAACATTATAGGCAATATTCTTGCATTTTGTAGGTGGAAAATGCAGTAATTATTTCCTCTTCTGTATGTTGTAAATCATTACACAAATTAAAATTTGTAAATAAATTAAAAATCGTAAAAACCGTGCAGTAAATCCTGAATCACGGGAATAGAACTCTTTAAAAAAGAAATACTGAAATAAGTGTATGTAAAATATGATGTTCTTTAAAGAAAAAAAAAATGAAAGAAAGAACATAATTTCTAGAAAGAACTATCTTTTAAACCTTTGCGATATCTGAATTTTTTATTTTATATTATTAATTTTGAAATTCCAGTCATTACTAATTTTGTTTTAAAATCTAAATGAGAACAGAAAAATCATGATTATTTCTTTCCTTTCTGATGCGCAAGAAAGACATCTTTGAAAAAAGAAAACATTTTTTGAAAAATTGCACATAAAGAAAAACCTAAATTTTTCCCTTCTCAAATTAAAATTTTTCTGCGAAAACTGAAATGTTCTGCGACTGTCGCCACAGTTCTGCCACAGGGAACAGACATAGTATTAAGAAACTTTTTGTGATTAAAACCATAAAAGAATGTAGAAACTGAAGATTTTTGAACATACTGGAAAAAAATATAAATAACAACGTCACCCACATCAAAAGTAAACAAAATAAGAAAATTAAAATATCAGAAGCATTCCCATACTTTTAATACCAAATGTTTATATGCATATGCAACTGCCTTTTGGCACTTAAATATCATTAATGAATTGTAGCTCTATGGTCAAACTTTGTAAGGGAAGCCCATTTACAAAGATTCTGATCAAATCGATTCTAGCAAGACCAGCTGTCTGAAAGGTTTACTGAATTTTATTCCCATAAATGCAAACTCCCAACACTGAAAAAACATTTGATTTCTGAAACACAACATTTTAAAAGACACAACGTACTCAGCAGTCCAAATTTTTAGGGGCCAATGGTTAGTTGATGAGCAGAAATTTTGCACCCTAATTTAATATTCCATTTAGCTTTTAGTGCATTATTAAGTTTAATACTTTTTCCCTATTGTAGATATTCAAGCTTATAAAATCAAATGTTTTCAGAAAAAGAGGGGATTTTAATAGGCGATGGTCAGTATAATTTAGCTAGTGAAAATTGTTTAGCTAGTGAAAATATCTGCAGAACATTAGATATTATCAAAAATCTTGTTACAGAATAATAGACATGATTCTACTCCTGGGTCAATACAATATAAAAGATTTGTATAGTTCATGAGCTTGTATAGCAAAATGATATGCAATGTATATAACAACAGAGTGTACCCAAAAATTGGAAGACGATAATAATTAATATTACAATAAAGTCAACTTAATATATTAATTATGGTTATTACTTCCATTAGAAATCGCTTCTGTTTCCTTGCAATTTCTACAAGTTTTTTTGTTTGCTTGGCATTCAAGGTCATGGGTTTCTCCATCAAAACGTGCTTTCCACTCTCAAGCATAAGTTTTCCAACAGCATAGTGATGTGTAGCAATAGTGCCAACATATACAACCTCTTCAAAGGAATAAAAATTATTGTTAGGAATTAAAAATGCTATAAAATTAAAATAAGAAATAATAGTAATAAATATATGTCACCAATATCAGAATCTTTTGCGAGATCTTCATAGGATCCGTATGCTTTTGGAATATCATGACTTGAGGCAAATTCTTTAGCAGAAGATAAATTTCTGGCAGCAACTGCAATAAACTAGGAATGGAGACTTTTTAAAAATGCATAAAAGTATTATATTATAACCAACGTTGAACAGCCGTAAAATGTAAAAATGCTGTATTTATTGTAAAAAGTGGGTACTGTTATAATAGTTCTCCAAATATCACACATAAAAAAAAATTGAAAGAATAATATTTTAGTCTTCAGGAACTTTGCCAAAATGTGTAAAAACCTGCTTTATGTACCACTGAATGCAGCAGTGTATTACACCTAATAACTCTCAAATATTACTTTTCTGACACTTCAGTACTTATATTTGTACTAAAATATAAAATCCAAAAAAAAAGTACAAGTATATGTAAGAATTTTTTGGTATCAGACAAAGTAGTTTAAGATCCTCTAGGATAGGTATATCATATAGAAAATAAATATCCCTATATAAATTTATATACAGTTTTCAGCAAATAAAATAAATAAAAATGTATAGAAACAAGTCAGAGAAATACAAAAAAAACAACAAAAAAAAAACAAGGGAAAATAAAAAATAAAAAAATTTAAGAGAGGAAGAAAAATTATTATTAAATAGAATATTTTTAAAAGTTTAAAAAGCCGGAAAACAAAATAAGGAAAAGATATAAATTTGTTGTCAGCTCACATATATCGGCAAAAAAAAGTGTTTTCTAATATTGTATTAATATTACTAAAGTAAAATACATCAATACAATAGTGTGAGGAGGACTAAATAATTATGAAGAAAATAAATTGAAATAAAAATAAAACGTGTTAAGAAAAAAATACAACAAAAAAAACATATCAAGCAAAAAATAAAAATTGAATATATATATAATTCTTGGAATTTTAATTTTTTGCGTGATATGTTTTTATTTTGTATTTTTTACTATATTATATATATATAAGTATATTAATTAAAATTAAATAATTAGAAATAAAATTACATTCAAAATTTATCTTTGTTCTGACACAGAAATACAATCTCAATACTTGAAAAAGAAAACATTTTAAAATGGCATACTTCATGATCTCCTTTAGGCATACTTNTATATATATATATATTTTCATTATTTCTTAGCGAATAACCTTTGTTATCAATGAAAAAAGACTTTAAAAATACTTTTTTTGAAAAAGATTCAGTTTGTTATAATTAATAGCTTTAAAGAAAACACAGTTGCTTCAATCAATAATTTTTTTTAAAAAATATCAATTTATTTAAATTACAATTTAAATAATGATTTATATCAAGTAATTTAAGTCATGCCAATCCTGGCAAAGACCCAATATAATAATTGTATGACTGAATATAATAAAATAAGCTGTTTTTTTATTATCAATGTCAGAATATATATTTAGAAAAATATTCCTGAATGCACATTATGTATAATACAAAATATTTTATTAAAAAAATTCTTTTTTTCTTTTGTTTTTGTAATATTTACAGTTTTTCTCTTAATTCAGATTAAAAAAATATTAACAAGCAATTGAATGCAAATATACGCATTAATTTCTCGCACTTAATTACGATCAAACCAGTAATTTTTTTAATTTTTATTTTCAGAATAATTTGTTTTACAAAATAATATCCCCCTTTTTTCATAACATATTATTTACAGTAAAATTTAAAAAGATCTGACGTTTATTTTTAAAATATTCTTTTTAATTATAAAGAGAAGGAAAATGAAAAGTTGTATGAAAAATTTTATGCATACTTACAAACGATTGTAATTTTTTTAAATAGAAATAAAAAAAAATCTTTTAAATCAGTTAAGTCTTAAACCCTCTGATGTTTCAAGAAGTTCTAGAAATAAAAAAGACAATTCATAAAGGACTTTACAAAAGATAATTTTTTTTTTATTATTTTGAAAGACATCAAAATGATATCTGATTGATAAAGAAATATCACAAGAAAGTTTTTTTAATTAAAAAAAAAATGATAAAATAAAATAGATCAGTCTACCTGAGTAAAGAATCGCTATCGTGTAATTAATTTTATTTTTCAGAAATGAGATAAGACTTTATCGATCTAAGTTCAAGGTAATTACATGATTGTTAAAAAATATTATCAAAAGCAATTAAAATCTGCTAAATATACTTCAAGCTAAAAATACTATTTCAAGCGAAATACACTTCTTTATTATCACTACAAACATTAAAAAATAAATTTCAACCATGCAATGCAATTCCTAATATTACATTGAATATTATTAGTAAATGTTTAAATTACAATTAATTTGAATCTGATCAAATTTAAAGTTAGTAGATTGGTTTCTATTTATTTGAAAGTTTTAAGCTGCCTATTTCTGGACTACTTAAGACAATGCAAGATCTGATATTCCTTAAAAATAAGAAGCATTAGTGATGTAAATCACTCTTCTCAAATCAGATAAAGTAGAAGCCCGGCGACCTTAACTTATTTGAAATTAACTTATTTACTTGAAATCGTTATTTTTCTTTCTAAAATTAAAAACACGGTTTTTAAATTGAGCGAAGAATTTTTATTTACATGTGAATAAAAGAGTGGAGTTAGAATTTTCCTGTAAAATCCTGTTTTATTTTCAATGATTTCTAGTGTTATTAATATTCATTGTAATTGATTTGTCCTTTGTGTTGTTTTTGTAAATATACTGTTTCTACGTTTTTGTATTGAAAAACTAAAGCATTTATACAGTTGTTTAAGATTATATATAAAATTTTTCATGATGCTGTAATTTCAGTGAGAAATATATAACAAAAAAAAATTAAAATAGGGGTGCACAACCTTTTTCAATGAGGGGCTATGAAAATTTCTGTACCCGTGTTAATGGCTAAGTTTTGGTGACTTCCTGACAATAGCTTGTGAGTAACTGAGTTTCTAGTGTAGAATTTTTTCGAGTGAACAATTTTAATCGTTGTAAATGAATTTGTGCCACATTATTTGCAAATATTAAAATTTTTTATAGTGAAGTACATCCAGTGATGCCCCATATGGATGATGTAATCAAATTATTTGATCACTAGTAATTCCTGATCTTTGTTACAAACATAATCGGGTTGAGATTGTAATTTTTTGTTGTAATATAAGGACTAGTATTCAAAAGATATTACTAGTCCATACCAGGGTTGAAAAATTTTTGGCAATTGACAGTTTTATCTGGTTATAACTGTCATGTCAACAATCTTTTTGAATCAATCTTCTTTCAATTGTTAAAAACCTAAAATTTTGTGAGGAAAATAATTATTACCTTTTATACACAAAAAGTTATTTGAATACATTTAAAAGTGATCAATCTTTTGTGTTCTTTAATTACTTTGACATTAAACCCCTTTCTTCATCAAAAATCACTTATCTATTATAAATATTAATTATCATGCATAATTAAATTAAATCTATTGTAACAAGCTAAAATTTATTCTGAAAATTCTACTAAATATGGATAATAATTAAATAAAATATTGAAGCTAATAATTCCTTTTGCTAAATAGTTGTTATTTTGTATTATTAGAGACCACTTCAGTTTTACTTAATCTTACAATATCTACCTCAATCATAGCATAAAGGAATTAAAATCTATATTTAAGTTGATTTAAGCACTTAGTTATCTATATAAGCTGAGTAGTAATATTATTCTAAATGATAACCGTAAAGTATAAATAGTAATTTTTTTTCTTTTGAAAAAGCAGTTAATAATAATATCAATATTTTTAGCTTCATTTTTCATACATTACTTATATATACAGTGTTTTCACTACAGCGCGAGAATCTCGCATATTTTTTTCTTTTCTCGCATTAAAAAATTATTACTGCGAGAAATTCGCGCATTCTATAAATCAATTTCAAAATTCGCGAATTTCTCGCATTTTGGAAGAAGCTTCGAATTACGCTATTTAGAATAAAATCCGTTTCACTTTTCTTCCTGGATCTCTCATTATTTTCAACATTTGCTCCGTTATCTAGCTTCCCTATTTACCAGTATTGTTCAGAACCTTTTCGAACAACAGAACACAACCGAACCACGGAACCCCTTTCAGAATACATTTTACTGCAACCACGTGCTTACGATATGTAAAGTTTTTTCATGTAAGACGTTCAAATTTTTTATGCACTAATGTAAGAGGGACAAATACCTAGTAAAGGCAAAATCTTCTATGATGATGCAGCAAGAATATTCAATGCTTTAAAAAATAGAAGACGTTAAAAATGTATTATNAAGCTGCCTATTTCTGGACTACTTAAGACAATGCAAGATACGATATTCCTTAAAAATATGAAGCATTAGTGATGTAAATCACTCTTCTCAAATCAAATCAGATAAAGTAGAAACCCGGCGAAATTGCTGAACTTGAAATTGTTATTTTCCGGTATTTGTTATCGTTATTTTTCTTTCTAAAATTAAAAACAAGGTTTTTAAATTGAGCGAAGAATTTTTATTTACATGTGTTTAAAAGAGGGGAGTTAGGTATCTGCATTTTTGAATTTTCCTGTAAAATCCTGTTTTATTTTCAATGATTTCTAGTGTTATTAATATTCATTGTAATTTGTTTTGTCCTTTGTGTTGTTTTTGTAAATATACTGTTTCTACGTTTTTGAATTGAAAAACTAAAGCATTTATACAGTTGTTTAAGATTATATTTAAAATTTTTCATGATGCTGTAATTTCAGTGAGAAATATTTAATAAAAAAAATAAAAATAGGGGTGCACAACCTTTTTTAATGAGGGGCTATGAAAATTTCCTTACCCGTGTTAATAGCTAAGTTTTGGTGACTGCCTGACAATAGCTTGTGAGAAACTGAGTTTCTAGTGTAGAATTTTTTCGATTGTGCAATTTTAATCGCTTTAAATGAATTTGTGCCACATTGTTTGCAAATATTAAAATTATTTATAGTGAAGTACATTAAGTGATGCCCCATATGGATGGCGCAATCAAATTATTTGATCACTAGTAATTCCTGATCTTTGTTACAAACATAATCAGGTTGAGATTGTAATTTTTTGTTGTAATATAAGGACTAGTATTCAAAAGATATTACTAGTCCATACAAGGGTTGAAAATTTTTTGGCAATTGACAGTTTTAACTGTCATGTCAAAAATCTTTTTTTGACATAGTTTTTAACAATTGTCAAAAACCTAAAATTTTGTGAGGAAAATAATTATTACCTTTTAAACACAAAAAGTTATTCGAATACATTTAGAAGTGATCAATCTCTAGTGTTCTTTAATTACTTTAACATTAAACCCCTTTCTTCATCAAAAATCATTATCTCTTATAAATAGTAATTATCATGCATAATTAAATTAAAGCTATTGTAACAAGCTAAAATTTATTCTGAAAATTCTACTAAATATGGATAATAATTAAATAAATATTGAAGCTAATAATTCCTTTTGCTAAATGGTTGTTATTTTGTATTATTAGAGACCACTTCAGTTTTTTTTAATCTTACAATATCTACCTCAATCATAGCATAAAGGAATTAAAATCTATATTTAAGTTGATTTAGGCACTTAGTTATCTATATAAGCTGAATAGTAATATTATTCTAAATAATAACTGTAAAGTATAAATATTACTTTTTTTTTATTTTATGAAAAACCAGTTAATAATAATATCAATAATTTTAGCTTCATTTTTCATACATTACTTATATATAATATGAAACATAGTAGGTATTAATTATAATGCAAGTATTATGAATGATTTAAACAGTTATGTAACATATATTCTAATAAAATGTCCCCCAATGGCGGATAATTAAACTTGCCTCAGATTTTTAACAGTTTTTGTCAGATAGAGACTGTTTTCGAGACATTTGTCATGAGGAAAACCAGTTTTTGACATTCTAAACCCAAGCCTGGTCCATACACATTTTCCCTGGTCTATTTACATGTCTCTATTAGATTTTCTTTTTAAAAAACAGGTCATGAAACCAATTTAAATAAAAAAATTTAATGCAAAGAATGTGTCATGTTTACAATATGCTATTTTACCTATGATGATGAAATATGCTATTTTAAGACAAAGATAGAAAACCAAACCAGCATACAAAAATGGTAAAATTCTAAGGTGATCTAAATATAGAAAAAGTCCAAAATCATGAAGCAAAAATTTAATTTTATTTAACAATTCACTTGATTTAAATTCCTCATATTCTAACCAAAAATATCTAAAATATTTCTTCTCAGTTTTAAAACGTTGATCAAAAGATACTGGGGCCAAATATCTGAAGAAAAACTTCCTGTTGTGTCTTTCTTCTAATTAAAGTTTTCCTGGATTTCTTAAAGGTATTGTATTGTAACTTTGTATTCTCTTGACAAAATGAATTATTATGATTAGGATTAATATACTTTTCTAAATGGTTTTATGAGGACAAATTAAAAGTCTAATTTATGTATTTAATTAATTAAAAGTTTAATTAATTAAAAATCTAATGCTGTCTTAAAAAATAACTAAAATGACTAAGAAAGGTTTTACAGAATACTAATGCAACTTTTTCTGAATTTAAGTTGGAACATCATTTTTAGATGTCTGAATATATTTTATTGTCATTTAAAAACGAGGTTTAGAATTTATTTAATAATTAACTTTTGAAATAACTGAACTTTCTAACTTTCCCTCTAAACATTCGACCACTTTCCTGTCCAAACTATTCGGATCATATTTCCCAGATGGCAGCCCACGCATAATTCAAGTCTCAAGATTATCTGCCAGATTTGGAAGAATACCCCATATCTGTAAAAAGAAAAAAGAAAGTAAATTTATTCTCAGAAAGTACATTTTTATATCTGATTTTGTTACTTAAATTATTGCTCTAAAATTGATTAAAATATTTAACGTTTGCTTTCAAACCGTTAAGTTTTAGTTTGTGAAAATCTGATCATTAGACAAAAAGTCATTCAGAGTTTTTGTTCACTGCAACGATGCATTTATAATTTTGTACAATGCAATTATAATTTTGTACAATGCATTTATAATTTTGCATAATGAAATTATAAATTTTTTTTTTATTTGTTATATTCATTTTCTGATTTGTATTTTTTCTTTGTGGTTAAATATAATTACATTAATAGTTGTATAATTCTTATAATGTGTATTATTTAATATTTTATAGAAAGTAATAGTGAGTGGAATTGACCTTTCTGCTTCATACAGGGCGCAGATACACAACTAGGTATGACTGAGGAATATATTAAAAAACGACCAAATCCTGGCTGGGAAATAGAAATGGAATTGACAAGGAAAGCTATCAGGACTGAGAATAATCTATCTCCAAAACCTCGTTTTTTTGTTGTTTGTGGTGATCTTATTCATGCAATGCCAGGTGAATAATTTAATCCATTTTATATCTTATATGAACTACAATTTTTACTTATGCGTAAGTTAGGTAGTTAGTTATCCCTTATAGTTAGTTCACTTACCTCCGTATTCACCGTTGACTCTGACCTGACGCGTAACTCCCAATTCCGAAACCCCCGGTTTGGAAACTTTGACCGAGAGTTCAAAAGCAATTCCACCATTATTTTTAGACCGTCGGTTTCTTAACTGTGGGTTACTTGACCGGCAGTTACAGGCATTTTCTTATTGGAGACGAAGAGACATATATTCCTACGAAGAGACACGTGATAACCGCCTTGTTTGTTTACTCCTGAAGTGGCATGCTCGATTACTCGTAGTTTTTCATTTTTTCGTCTTTACTTCTATTACTTTAAAATGGCTCAAAAATTATATTTTACAGTGACTGAGAAAGAACTGCCGATGCAGCTAGTGGAGCCGAAGCTTTCAATAATAGAAAACAAATAAAATTACATCTTGTGAAAAAGCTGAAGCTTTCATAGAAATTGCGCAGGAGTTTAACAAAACTCCTGGAGTAAATCCTCGAACTGCAATACAATTAAGACAGTGCTACTCCAATATATAAAGAAATTAAATAAAAAAGCTGCTAGGGCGAGGCAGCATATCAGGTTAACTGGGGTAGGAGAAAATGCATGCCCCCAGTTAACGGATATCTATCGATGCCTCTATTAACTTATCCGTTGAGATCAAGTTACGATAATGATTACATGGATATAGAAAGTAAGTATTATTTTATAATTTTGAGTTATAACATATGTGTTAAAAATTAATGTTCAGAGAATATTTATACTGGCGCTCTGTGAATAATTTGTAAAGTAATTTTCAATAGATGCAAGTTTAGTTATTATTTTGAAAAATAAAAACGAAGTTATAAAATGCAAAGTGTAAATTTCGATTCTCTGCTTTTTTTTATCTGATTGTAAAATGTTAATATATAATTTAAATGTTAATAATAATTTTATTGAAATATATCGAATGAGTTCAGAGTGCCATTTGATATAATCCAAAAAAATTTTAGAAATTGAGCACTTCACTCAATTTTATTTATATCCTAGTGGAATTTATTAATTAGTACATTTAATTATATTTATCTGATTGTTAATATTGTTTGTTTTATCTATTATACTAATTTTTAAATAAATATAAAAAACCATATGTGGGTCAACAAACAATTTAAATCACTGATTAGTTGGATTGCTTTTTATTGAAAGCTGTAATTATTTTTTTATTTAGTACTTAAACCAGAGTTGCAAAACACCCGGGTTTTTCTAGAAAAACCCAACCCGGGTGGGTTAATGGGCTTTTCATGTTTTAATGGAATTTTTTTTCAAAAGAGAGGGCAGAGATAAGTACCTTATTTTGGCACTGACTAATCAATAGTCATATAGTCAAATCAACATAACTCTTAAAAAAAAATTAAAATTCATATTAAGTGATTGAAAATTCATACTTAAGCTGTTGACGTAAAAATTGCACCAATTCAAATTTAGCTGTATTATCGAATTTGATTCGTGCAATGTTTACACAAGTTTGGTTTGTTTATCACAATATTAAAGAAAATTCAAAATAGAAAATGCATTTTTTTGAGAAAAGCTGTTTCTTTCAGTATTTTTAAAAAACAGTAATATTGTTGACTTCTTATTAATTTTTGAAGGCCCTTAACCCGAACCTATTTGGCCTAGGCGATTCTAATTTTTTGGTTTAATGAATTTCCTACATGTTAAGCACTTTGAATATTACTAATCGGTGTGATTTTTTCATTTTTAGAAAAAGCTGAACCTGAACATATTTTTCCGATAGATAGTGAGGCTTTAGATGAAACAGTAGTAAGTATTGTTTTTATTGTTAGCAAATAATTCTGGATTAAATAACTATGCCTAGTAATTATTATGCAGCATATGTATACTATATTTGCATTGCTTAATTCCAATGGTGCAGCTAAGGTTTTCAGCATCTAAGGACAATTTCGTTAACTATTCAGGTTTTGTTTTACCTTGAAATATGTTGGGGCTGTGAAATCATTCTTTTCTAAACCAATTTATTTATGCCTCAGACTTTGTAAAAACTTGAAAGCTGTCCTTGGCACTGTAATATATTTTGACAAATCCCGGATCAACTAGGAGACTAGA